TTTTACAATAATGTGCAGTATTATAAACACTACTTGGTATAGCACTTAGAAATTAGAGTACATTTACTTTTTTTCTGAGTCAGAGTCTCACTATGTCACCCAGCCTGGAGTGCAGTGGCACACTCACAGCTGCTGCAACCTTGACCTGCTGGGCTCAGGTGATCCTTCCACCTCAGTCTTCCAAGTAGTTGGAACTAAAGGAATGCGCCATCATGCTGGCTAATTTTTTTATTTCTTGTAGAGATGAGGTTTCGCCAAGTTGCCCAGGCTGGTCTCGAACCCTGGGCTTAGGCAATCCCCTCACCTCTGCCTCCCAAACTGCTGATATTACAGGTGTGAGCCACCATGCCTGGTTTACTTTTGGTTTTGAAACTATCCAATCTTATTTTATGCATTTACCTTCCACACTTACTACTTTACTTGGAGTTTAAACATAATCTGCATTTAATTAAGTATATTCCATACTAAGACCAGTGAAAAAAATTAACATTGTATTAAAAATGTTTATTTGGAAATCTAAAAGTGAAGAACTGAGATATGTTTTATTTCACATTTCCATTGCATAGCCATTATACATCCATCATTAACTGAAGCTAATATCAGAACACATAATTGGAAAAACAATGGATTTTTTTCGTCTCCTACTCACAAACTAAAAGTAGCTGTTATTTATGTGATTATAAAAGCAATGTATGTTCAGCTCATTAAAAACAAATATCATTTTATATCAATAAATATAGGTCCAGGCCATTGCTTTGCTAAGCTGTGGTTTGACTACAGTCACCATGTTTCCTGGTCTTGGCACCCTCCCCTACCTTAGGAAGGTGTATCTTCTTTCTCTCTTAGAGTTCCTGACCTCTAAGGAGTTATTAATCTAGGAGAGAGATAGCTACATACGTACACGTGCTTTGATATCTTATAGCAGGGGTCCTCAAACTTTTAAAACAGGGGGCCAGTTCACTGTCCCTCAGATCGTTGGGGGGCGGACTATAATTTAAAAAACCATTTGCATTAGCACTGAGCGCTATTTGCGTTATCACTGTGATGCAACCCCCCTAGAAACCATCCCCAACCAACTAACCAACTTCAAAAAAAAAAAAGGCTCTCCTAACTTCAAAAAAAAAAGGCTCTCCTAACTTCAGAAAAAAAAGGCTCTCCTAACTTCAAAAAAAAAAAAAAAAGGCGCCCCCTATCTGCAAAAAAAAAAAAAACATAGACCTCCTAACTTCAGGAAAAAAAAGGCCCCCCTTAACCGCAAAAAAAAAAAAAAGGCCCTACTAACTGCAAAATTAAAAAAAAAATAGACCTCCTAACTTAAAAAAAAAAAAAATCCTAACTTGTTCGGTGCTCAGGCAGCAGCAGGCTCTGAAACTCATCCGATCTCACCGGAGACTGAGAGGAGGAGGGGAGAGACAGAGAGAAGGAGGGGAGTCGGAGAGTGCGACGCACATTCCACACATGCGCACTGAGGGCCGGGACAAGTCGGCTGCTAGGCAGGACGGGCAGCAGCGGCAAGAAAACCTGGTGGGCCGGATAAATGTCCTCGGTGGGCCGCATGTGGCCGCGGGCCGTAGTTTGAGGACCCCTGTCTTACAGTATCCTTTAGTAGATGGAGTCAAGCATGACAGAAGCAGGGCAGACTTGTAAATTTGGGTGGGTTTTAAGAATTCTTAAAGCCTCACACTTGTTAAATGGAGATGATACAAAAATTGAGTGCTGTTAAATGCTTTACCTGCATTAACCCACTGTCTCCATTTTACAGATTAAAAAGCCAAAGACTAGAAAGATTCTCTACCTTGCCCAAGAACAAGATTACAAGCTAGTAGGTGGGGAGCCAGGTTTCAAAAGCCAAATTCTGTCTAGACTGCCTATCACTTAAGGTTAAAACTGTCCCTTTAGAACTAGATAATAACAAAATGAAATCCTGTATTCATCCAGTAGGAGAGGATTAAAAAATAATTAACTCCTGGCAATGACCTGTTGAACATGACAGCAAAAGCATAAGCAACAATGAAAATAGATAAATGACACTACAACAAACCTAAAAACTTCTGTGCATCAATGACATAATCAACAAAGTGAAAAGGCAACCTACAGAATGGGAGAAAATATTTGCAAGTCATATATCTGATAAGGGGTTAATAAAAAACAAATACCTGGGGGTTCTTTGGTGTGTGTGGTTTTTTTTTGAGTTGGGGTCTCACTCTCGAGCAGGCTGGAGTGTAGTGGTGCATGGCTCAGCTCACCACAGCCTCAACCTCCTGGGTTCAGGCAATTGTCTTACCTCCAGTCTTTCAAGTAGCTGGGATTATAGGTGTGTTCCACCACACCTAATTTTTTTATTTGTAGAGACAAGGTCTTACTATGTTGCCCAGGCTAGTCTCAAACTCCTAGTCTCAAGTGATCCTCCCACCTCAGCCTCCCAAAGTGCTGGGATTACAGGTGTGAGCCATCCTGTCCACAAGGATTTGAATGGACATTTCTGCAAAGATGACATATAACATATGAAGAGATGCTCAACATCACCAATCATCAGAGAAATGTTAATCAAAACCACAGTATCATCTCTCACACACTAGACTGGCTACTATCAAAACAAAAAACAGAAAAGTGTCCACAAGGATGCTGAGAAAGTGTAACCCCTGTACATTGTTTATGGAAATGTAAATTGGTGCCGCTGCTATGAAAAACAGTACAGAGATTCCTCAAAAATTAAAAATAGAATTACCATATGACTTAGCAATCTCACTTCTGGGTATCTAAAAGAATTGAAAGCAGGAGCTTTGCACACCCTTGTTCAGAGTAGCATTATTCACAATAGCCAAGAAGTTGAAGGAACCCAAATGTCTACTGATAGATGAAAGAATAAACAAAATGTGGTATGTATATATACACATGGACTATTATTCAGCATTTTAAAAAAGGAAATCCTGTCACATGCTACAGTATGGCATAAACTGGAGATTATTATGCTAAATGAATTAAGCCAGTCATACAAAGACAGATACTATATGTTTCTACTTCTATGCAATATCTATAAAGTAGTCCAATGCATAGAAACAGAAAGCAGAATGAAAATAGGGAGTTGTTTCACTGGTACAGAGTTTCAGTGTTGTGGGATGAAAAAGTTGTGAAGATCCCTTGCTTCAGAATGTGAAATAATGGGGGGAGCCCCCCAAAATGGAATGCATTTATAAAAAATAGCATATTTATGCTCACATGTCTAAACTTCAGTCACTGTCAAAGTACTCTTCATTTGATACAATATATTTACCAAGATGCTTTTTTCACTACTCAAAACAGTTTTTGAACGCCTCAATTTGGATGCCTTTTAGTGCTTCTGTCGTTTTTTGTTTCATCTCTTTGACATCAGCAAAACATTTTCCTCCGAGGACTATTTTATCCAAAGAGACAAACAAACAAAAAGGCTGCTCTGTGCAAGGTCAGGTGAATAGGGAGGGTGGGGCATGGGGGTCATGCCATTTCTGGTCAAAAACTGCTGAACGTTCAGCGCAGTGTGGGCAGGTAAGCTCGTAAATCACCTATCATGAAATGGGCAAATGCGTCCAAAGAATCTCCAAAAAGAAAACCACTGAAACCTAACACAGTCTCTCACAACAATGCTAGCTGGTACACTAATGGCCATGGGTTCCTAGAATACTCACCCGGAGAAGGAAGCCTGTACTACAAGGGGCCCACCCTCCAAAAGATAATTCTGGGCTTTTTTGGGATCCCTCCTCGTACTTAACACTACTAAACTGTACACTTAAAAATGGTTAGGATGGTAAATTTTATGTTTTTTGCCATAATTTTTAAAAAGTATGAACTCCTTTGTTTTCTTTCACTTCCTTTTCCTGTCCTCTCAAGTATACCTGAGATGGCGTAATGGAAAGGATAGAAAAACAAATAGCACAAGGTCTTCAACAAAGCAGAAAAAAGGTTTAAAAAACAACAAAACATGTCACCCATGTTATGAATTTATCAGTAATTATCTTCTTAACCCGAAAATAACTTGAATCTCAAGTGAAACTGTATCCTTCAGACAAGGCAATACAGTGCAATGGTTACAGGACTTTTAGAGTCTGAAAGCTCCACCTACTTGTCTGACTTGCTACTAATTGTTGTGTGACCTTGGGTAAGGCATTTTCATTCATTCGTTCTTTCATTCATCCAAAAGTCTATTTCGATATGGGTATACCTGGTCAAATGAATCCCATACCTCTACAAAGCATTGTTCTGAAGAATAAATAAGTCATATAAAACATTCAACACAACTCTTGACACTTTGGGAGTGCTCAATAAATACTGACTATTATTACTTTGAAGCCTAGAGAGTAGGACAAAAAACAAGGTGAATTCAACTAAAGGAAATCCAGTACCCTACTCCTTAAAGATTTTCTTAATTTTTCGATAATTATGGTGCTATCAAAAGAGATACTATTTAGCAAATCATCACTGACTCTTGATCATTGTCGCCAAATGTGTGCTCCTCTCTTCCAAAGGAACTCTCTTTTCCAGGGAAAAGCAATGTCATCTCAGGTATTCGATGTTTGCTTTGGAACAATTTTCTACAGAACCCGGAGATGGTGGAACCTGAAATGAACCACTAAAGTTCCCTCCCACTTCAACAGGGGCTTAGACCTCATCTAGGGGGTGAGAATACGGAGGGAGGGGCCACATCATCAAACACCCAGATATAAAGCCCCACGGTGGTAAGCCGCGACCAGACAAGCTCCTCCGGGGAAAACGAGAGCTGGACACGCACGACCGCGGAACCGGGAGCCGGCGGGCCGGCAGGCGCAGAGAAGTCTCGGGCAGCCCATCCCGAGGCCTGGGCGGGGGCTGGGCGGGGGTGTGTCGGGCAGCTCCTCCCGGGGACCCGCGGCCGGCTCAGGCAAGCCCGGGGCCCTGTGAGCTCCCAACAGGGGCGAGGGTGGGAGCGGGGCGGCGACGCCGGGGTCTGGGGACCTGGCCGGGAGGGAAGGGACGCCGGGTCTCACCGCGGGCCGAGGGCAGTGGGTAGAGCTTCTCGGCCTTCTGCAGGAAGCGCTGGGCCTTCTCGCGGTTGCCGGCGTTCAGGGCCTCCCGGGCGATCTCGACACATTTCTCCGCCTCATCCCGGTTCCCCTCCATAGCTAGCGCCTCCTTCCGTTTCCTCCGGCCGCTCAGCTACCAGGGGCG